TCCTGTGAGATTGGAATTTCCACACAGTGCTCGCTGTTCAAGCTCTTCTCCTTGCTTGTTACAAGTATATTTTTGGCACAAAATACCAGAGCTGGAAGTGCACGGTTGTCCCATAGGTGTGTTTCCTCTGTATCTTACTTCTATGTGCTTAATTTTATATTTTACAGTTACAGTGGTGGTGTTTTCCTTGATAGCTTATTTTAAAACTATTTGTGATGATGGCTTCAAATACAGAAAAAGTTAGTCGTATACAAACTTAAATCCTCTTATTAGATGCTTCAACAGAGAATCTTTATCATTGTAATGATTTTTAACATATTTACTTAATTGTTCAGTATTTTCTTGCTATACGACCTTTCCGCCCATCCAACCTTGCTGCAGCAGGTTGAGGTTAAGTAATCAGAACTCTACTGTATTTTCAAACTCCAGGGCTATCCAGCACATTAAATTGTAACTACTAAGTGGTCTAAATGCCCAATGTAAACTAATCCTAATTTTCTGTAGCAACATTCAAAGCACCCAACCATGCCATAGCTTCCACTTGAGTTGCACACTGTTTATTCAAGGGTGTCATCATTGTCATCCCAGTATTTCTGACACAGATAGGCTGGTAATCTTTGAGTCCTATTTAAAATTTGCCAACTAAAACATTATTCAGCAGTTAAGTTTTACAGCCCTTGTAATACAGACAATATGATCAAGTATGATAAGTGTGAATGTCTTTGTGGCTTTTTTTATCACTCCCACCTGTATTCATTGGGATAACACTTCAAGGGGAGGTTACCAAATGGCTTAATTGATAATACTTTTAAAGGACCGTATAAGGTGTAAGAAGCTAGTTTTGTGATTTTTCAGGCAGTACCGTACTTTTGAAATATATAAATAAAAATAATAACTCTGTTACTTTTTCTGGGGGATGGGATGAACATGTCATGAGAAAAGAAGGCTCCCTTATCAAAGTTAATTCTGGAAAGAAAACCAGGAGGCAGAAGACCCCTTAGAAAACCAAAGCTGAGACAGTTGGAAAAAGTGGAAAAGGAGACTGGGAAGGAAAAAGGGAGAAAGATATGAATGGAGGTATTATGTTTGTTTATGTGTGTTTTTTACCAATCTTAAACAGGAAAACTAATTTAGGAGAGAGTCCAATCAAAATGTATTAAATCACAGTATAAAAATTGTACTGTACATTTTACTTTATTTCAATACTTCATCAATCAACAAATTCCATTACAGTCAGCAGTCACTCAATGGATCTATCAAATTCTAGTTGATTGCAACATTCTAATCTAGGACTTAGTAATTAATTAAAAGATAAAGAAATCTTTGTTAGTAAACAATCAGGATTAGTGTTGTTTCAATATGACTAATTAATGAGAAAACATAATTTCAATCAATCATCATCCTTACAACTGAAGTCATGATCGCCACATTCATAATCTTCTAAATCTACTTGACTAGAATAAAATAAACTGTAAATCCATAAAACAATCTACAATATATATGAGGTTACATTACCTTAATCGCCAAGTGATCCATGTAGTCCAAAACTAGGATTACGTACGTTTCGAGTCAATGCGCCATTGTCAAATCCAGAAAAACTTTTTAAACCATAAGGGTCACGTCATAGTCTTTCCGACACACACAAACGAAACAATAACGGGCAAAAATACATTTAAGTAGGCCTACTAACTAATTTATGGTAAACGGTCGTCACAACATAGTACAGATCTGATCGCATGCCGAGAATCGACTGATGGTGCGCCGCTTCCTGGTTTATCAACTTGCACTTTTTCCTCTGCCACCTGTATCATCTAGTTGTGAGCTCTTAAGTTTTATGAGGGATTCAAACAATGCATTTGACCGGAAAACACATTTGTCATTCAACAAATTTTGAGGCTGGTTCCTTGTGTTGAATCTTATAGTTTTCCAATGCAGTTAATCTATGTCCTTTTCTGCAAATGTGTAATAGTTTTAAATTATTATTAATATTTGTATAGTTGTGGTTGCTATTGGTCAGATGTGCTGCAAAGTTTGATTTTTGAACACTGGTGGCTTTAGGCAAATGTTCTTTAAACCTCCTTTCGAATGATCGTCCTGTTTTGACCTATGTAGAACTTCTCGCAGTCGTCACAAGTTATTTTGTATACACCACATTTTTTATTTAAATCAACTGTTTCTTTCTTTTTATTCAAAATATTACCAAGCTTTTTCGATGTTCTAAACGCAACAACCTTACCATGTTTTTGCAGTTCATTTTTTTATGTTAAGGGGAAATTACTGCCAAATTCAGTTAGTACATAACCTGTTATATTGGCTGTGCTTTTTGAAATTGGATTTTTGGATTTTTTGGTCTGTTTGTTTATTAATTTATCTATGATGTTAGGGTTGTAGCCGTTGGATACTGCGATATGCTTTAATATGTTTTTCTCAGATGTGAAGTCTTCAGGGTAGAGTGGTACAGATAAAACCCTAAGCGGCTAGTTTATCGGACATAGGATGATGTGAGGATGTGTGAATGGTTGTATCAGTTGCTGTAGGGTTTCTATAAATCTTGAATGAGAAGTTGTTGTTGGTTTTGATGAGAGTTAGGTCCAAAAAATTGAGTAAATTGTTCATTTCAATTTCTGCAGTAAATTTCATATTTGGGTGGAGGCTATTCATGAAATTATTGAATACCTGTACTTGTATGGGATTACCGTCATATAATAGTACTATGTCATCGACATACCTGTAATAAAATACTATTTTATTTCTGTGTCGGTTGTTGTCAGACCATAAATGTTTGTTTTCAAACCTGTTTAGGAAAATTTCTGCAAGAATGCAGGACAGGGGTGAGCCCATAGCTAAGCCTTCTTGTTGTATAAAATATTCGTCATTGAAACTGAAACAATTTTGTTTCAATACTATTCTCAGTAATACCATTAGTTCTTCACGTTTTACACTGTCCATTTTAGAATGTTTTTCTAGGTTATCTTGCAAAATATCCAAAGTTTCGTTTACTGGGATGTTTGTGTAAAGGTTTGAAATTTCTAATGAGGCCAGGGTCTGTCTAGGGTTCAAACTTACGTTCTTGATACCATCTATTAGTTCTAAGCTATTTTTTAGACTTTGACTATTCTGACTTCAATTCATTTTTAATTGTGCGTTCGAGTTTTTTGGCTAAACTATAAGCAGGTGCAGGCATGTAGTTTACTAAAGGACGTATCGGTACTCCATCCTTGTGAAGTTTAGGAAGTCCTTTTAAGATTGGGGCCTGCGGGTTGATTGGTTTTAAGTATCTAATTTCATTATCAGATAAATAGCTCGTACATTTTGATATGGATTTGTTGATCTCAGCTGCAAAACATGATGTCGGGTCTTGTGTTAATCGTTCTATGTTGTTTTTATTTATAAATTCAGTGACTTTTTATACCCTGAAATATGCATGATTACTAATGTGTTCCCTTTGTTAGCTTTTGTGATATGCAGATTGTTGTTGTCTATTTTTTCTTTGATACTTTTGAGTGCCCTAACTTCATGAGCTTGTGATCTATATTTCTTAGGCTTCTTCATAATGAGTTTTAGTTTGTTGTTTACCATTACACGTGCAATATTTTGGTTGTTGGAGTCAGTTATAGTTTGGATTGCTGATTCAGCATCAATTGCTTCCGAGAATAACCCTTTCTAGTGAAATTGTATTTTAAGCCCTTGTTCAAAAGAGCAGTCACGTCTGGATCAAATTTTGCATTTGTTAAATTAATAGTTCTCGGCATGCGATCAGATCTGTACTATGTTGTAACGACCATTTACCATAAATTAGTTAGTAGGCCTACATAAATGTATTTTTGTCCGTTATTGTTTCGTTTGTGTGTGTCGGAAAGACTATGACGTGACCCTTATGGTTTAAAACGTTTTTTTTTATTTGACAATGGCACATTGACGTCGAAACGTACGTAATCCTATTTTTGGACTACATGGATCACTTGGCGATTAAGGTAATGTAACCTCATATATATTATATCTCAGTGATTCAGAAAAAACAACATGCAACATGAAAACAATCTACAGCTTCATTGTAAACCGGTATCAGTAAACTTTTTGTATTATTCGAGCTATTTTGTAGCTGTCAATAAACAAATCGCTGATTGAAGGAACCTAATTTCTCATTAACCCTCCAAGTGTCCATAGTTTAGGCCTTAATGTCCACCTATTTTTGGCGCATTTGCAAGGTTTTATTAAGACGGATCTGAGAAGCTTAACCCTCCGAGCGTCCATCGTCGAAAAATCGACGCGCTACACACTTTGTGTAGTGTCACGCGTCGATTTTTCGACGCACGAACATCGTTTACGGCGAAGGCTCTATGACTGACTGAATCGGATTGAACTGGATCGAGTTAGGTATCGTTCTTTCCGTTATATTCTAAGCTTTCTCCAGAGGTCTGTCTCAGCGCTGTATGTTCTCCGAGCCGATCGTAATTGTAGCAGACAGCTGACGTGACGTGCGTATTCGTTAACAGCTTGGTTATCCTCGGAACGATGACTGATGTGTTTTATTACGTTTATCATTGTTTTAGTGTTAAAAATCAAAAGTAGTGATATATGTGGTGCATTATGAGAAGATTTAAGTGATTTTGAAGGGCTGGTTGATGATCCTGAAGAAGTAGGTAGTGATATTGATGTAAATTATCAGCCAGATTCCTAGTTATGGTTAGGCTATGCATTCTTAGCTAAACGCTATGTACTGAAATCCGTTTTTCACTCATAACTTATTTATTTGATAACTTACCTCACTATATGATTATATATTTGTAATCCTCATTAAATTTAGAACAAAGTGGCTATTTTCAAATATTTATAGGCCTATAATTTATACAATTTCATTGAGCGCGAACTTATTTTTTTTCAATTTTTCCAAAATAATTTTTTTTTACCTAAAAAATTTTTTGAAACAAATATTCCTTATGTTTTATGTATGATATTGAAGCCCATGATTTTCCAAACAAAATGGTATATAGAACATTAGAATTAACATTGTTTTAATTATACATAGGAAAAAAGCATAATGAAATAATTTTTCATAATCGATCAAATAGTGCATAAAACATATAACAATAATAGCATTGTCATCATGTGGTTATTCAACATGCAGACCAAATTAATTTTCATCTATATTATTTGTTCAAAAGCAGCTTGTAAAGCTTGATAAGTATTAAGGTTTGCTGCTACAAAGAACACAGTATATATATTTTTTAATCACAGTCAATCCACAGCGATTAATTTGGGCTCCATAAAACTAACATTGGAGACAGCTGTGTTTAGCAATTTTTATATCTTGGTAACCTTTTGGTGTTTAATAATAATGTAATAATCAGTTGTTTACCTTTTCATCTAATTTAAATGTCATTTTCTTGAATTTTGGCCTCATTTTACATTTATTGTCTGGATACAGCTTTGTCTGATTATATCTTGTCCTGTAGTATTATTTTTTTATGTTTTAAATGCGTCTATTTTTGATGTTTGCGTATGTGTATAACTAATTAATTATCCATAAATACAACCTTCAAATGAAGTTACAGGTCTTTCCCAAATATCTTAGTAGTGAAGAAAAATATGTATTATAGTCAAACTAGTATCCCTATAGTAACATAGTGGATACATGAATGCAGGTGTATACACAATTTATGTATGTGATTGCAAAAAGAGGTGTACCATATTATTAGAGGTGTTACATATTATTGTACATTTACATAAAAATGTGCGTCAATTAAATATTGCAATAGTGTGTAGGGGGTACTACTAGTATGACCATATAGAAATATTGCTGACAACCTTGTGCCCATCAGCACCATTTGAGTACATTGAACCGGTCTATGCTTGACAACTGGTTATTGAAGGCTCCAAGCCAACTTGTACTCAATATACAGCCAATACTTACAAAGTGCTGCTACACCGTATTGTATGTTTTGATATACAATTTGACATTTTGAAGGATAATTTTATTGTAAAGGTTAAGAGGTGACATAGGAGGTGTTTTGTGAGTATCCCGTTTTGGTATTAAACACTCCTCAAAAATAGATTTTTTATACAAAAAAACCTATTACACGAGATTTAAGTATTTCGGGCATTTGAAAATTGACATTTAAAAAAATAATGAGCAAATTTTCATTCTATAAGTTAAGAGAAAACACCAAAATGTTATTGTTCAAAGAAATTCTAACCATGAAGTATTATATCACAGCGTAAATATGACAGAAATTTGTAAACACTTCTTTGAAATTCATTGGCAAAATAATAATATTAATTAACTGTACAAGCTACGTATGCGCTGCAAAAACCTTTTTCTACTGTTGTTTTTTTTTCAAGTTTAAGTTACAGTAGAGGCAAATAAATGAATTTAAATCTTAGGACCTGTAACCAAAAGTACTCAAGCTCTTATAGCTTATTTGTTTAGTAAAATGCAATTGTTTGGTTCCAAGTCAAAATATTAAATAAAGTTAACGATACTGTGTGATTTCATGTTAAATTAACAATTATAGGAAAAGAGTAATTTATTTTCCATTATTATACCACTGATTGTAGGTACAATTGAGAGGTATTCATTTAATTCAATTGCACGCTATAAGTTGGCTTATTAGTGAATTTCCCAATAGGCAGTAGCAATTAAAAAACATTCTACTTTTTTAGAATCCCCAGAAACAAACAAAAACCTTAATTCTAATATATTTACGGAAAGTAAATAAAAGAAACGTCTTATAACACTTAAAACATATATTTACGCTTATACTGTTACTCACAAGACGGTAAATATACCAAACAGATGGTAAGTGGTGATCGATTTCGATTGGACACTCCAATCATCATCAGACCCAATAGGCGAATGACATATATATTTATGTATCATGAGCTAAATTAGTGCGAAATACAGTGGAAAGTCACACAGGACCTCTGAAGACAATTTTTAAAAACCTTTTAATAACTATTTTATTTTTTTAATTGAATAAAGATGCATAGTAAAAATGTAATGTTGAACAAATGCAACATTTGTAGGTATGAAAACGTGTTCATGAAAAACATTTTGCAAACAAAATTATGGATCTAAAACTGTATACCATGATATGTGTAATTAATTGGTTTGGTTAATTGGAAAATGTTCAAAGTTAATAAAAAAGTTGAATTAATTTGGCAATAGCAGTAACACTTCAAATTTATCAAGAGTAGACATTAGTCTGTAGACTTATATCTAGTTCAAATCACAATAAATTTTTATTTTTTTATTTTAGTATTTTGTAATATTAATTTCGTATAGTAGTAGAAATCGTTTTATTCAAGCAACAAATCTAAACATTAATATCAGGGAGTAATGCCCTGCTTTCATATTTTAGCTTTTTAAATTGCAGATAGTTCATTAGATTTGACTCTTAAATACGCTAATAAAATATGTAAAAATAAACTGACCTTGATGTTATTATCATTACAGACACCACTATAGCACTATAAATAATAACTTTAGAGTTGGAATGTCTTGAAAACGTAATGGTTTGAGCCGTGTCCCATACCATAGTCAGCAGATAACCTAACTAAGACGCGCACACATCTATCAAACAGCTGATTCGCTGGCTTCAACCTTGCTTGGTAGCGGGGGAAGGGAGCTTTAATCGAAATACTGTACAGTAGTTCACGCTCAAAATTCATAGACTATTACAGTGTTGAAATTATCTAATTTATGTTATGTTTACTCTATAGAGGCGTGTTATTTCGTTGAAAAACCAACTGTGGTTTGTTCTGCTGATTATTTGTTGTTATGAAATTTATGTACATTTAATTAATAAATTAAATGTTTTAATACAACCAACAATTGCTATAGGTATTCAGTATTTTTTAATTTCTATACATGGACTTTTTGTAATATAAAATAACTTAATTAGTAAAACTCTATACAATAAAATTCTAGATCCATGCAGGAAACCAACATGGACATTTGCAACATGGACATGTACATTTGTGGACCGACGATAAGTTCATCGGGTTCATTGCCATCAAGAGTAAAACATTGAAAAAATACATTTTTATCTTTGTAATTACAGTAAATGAATGTAATCTCTATGGACACATTAAAAACGAAAACAAAAAATTAGACTTTACTTTAGAATGATTATAACTATAAGATTCGGCAATTCATTTGACTTTTTGAATCAAAAGTTGCCATAATGTGTCCCAACATTATTGTGTATTTGAGATATTTTAAATAGTTAAACATCTTACCCTTTATTATTCGAGAAATTCGCTGAGCTCTAAATAAAACACTCGGGAATCGCCAGTATTCTTCTAACTTTTTCAGCTTCTTAGGGAATCACCACGTTGAATCGTATTTACAATAACACTAAACCTTATAGATAACTATGCAACAATGCATATCAGATAGTCGGTAATGATGTAAAGACAACAGGGATATCAACATACAAGCTTGTTTTATTAAAATGTGCCTCACAGTACTTTAAATTTGGGTTGCGTTAAAAAACACCCTGTATTTTTAGTATGTTTCAAAGAAAAGTTGTGCTAATGCCATAATAGTGTTAGCGAATGTATACCCTGTACATACTGTTTTCTAAAGAAATCACGGAATCTTTTGTTTGTATCGTAAAAAATTGGGAAACCCCCATTTTTACCCGATAAAACCCCCCATGAACCCCCATTCCCATAGTCCGATCATGCTGGTTTGCGAACTCCTTCGAATAAAATAGATGTAGGTTTACTCGTTTGTACCAAATTTCATCAAAATCGGATAATTTTTTTCGAGTTATCGTGCTAACGGACAAATATATATGTGTGTGTGTGTGAATTTGAACGGATAGTGTTTTTGGCCTCTGAGGACATCAAAACGAAAAGGTAAATCGGTCACGGGACCAGGTCTCACCATGACACCTACGGTTACAGCTTATCCCCTAAAAGTAATGGGATGAGGTATTTGAAGCCGGGGTATTAAGAATTGGTCAAAAAAATCAACACTCATTCATGAGTACATGAAAAATTTGTGCGTATATTTCCTCAAATCCGAGTTTAGAGGTAAATCTGGCCTTTTAAGGTTCTCGGACTATAAATTGGATGCACCCAGTATTTTCTCTTAAGTTTTCTTGCACGAAATCTTATCAGTAACGCACATATGACAGCGGTTTCTGTCATATACATCCTTTTGACACTCGAAAGACGACTAAACAGTCGTGTCGTGTGCGCACCCATAGTCAACGATCAAACAGTCTTGACGACTTTTCGATTTTTCACCCGACTCCAGCCAGACAGATGGCCAACAGTCGGCCGACAAAAAGTCTCTCGTGTGCGGTAGGCCTAGACACAAAAGGCTTTGTGATTTTTTATTTATAAAATTGAAATTCTAAGAAATATGTTTATACCATTAATTAGCTTTAAAATTTCCCAAAAATATATCATAATGTAATTTACGTATACAGTTTATTTAAGCTGAAAATCTGAATTACTCGAACTATACACAACTCTCAACACACGAAATATTATAAATGGGAAATGATACTTATATTTTTTTTTTTTCTTGGTCATAGGTTGTAGCTTAGGTTGATATGCTCTGAAGGCAAGTTTAGAAACAGGTGACGCTCTACGACGCGGTCTGACAAACGATCCCAAGTTTGAAAGATAACCCGAGCTTCTTACACCAACTCGTGGATTAATTTACAACGAGTTTCAAATTAATTAATCCTTTGACATTTGTTGATTTAGTGTTAAAACTGCGGCAGACATCAACGCCAAGAAGCCTTGGTAGATTATGATTGATGTTGAGTGGTGACGGCTTCTGTAGGCTTGTATGAAATCAGACTCGTAACGAGATTCGATTGACTAACTCACAGCCATAGTAGTACGTTTTCTGTGCTCACAGTGATACGTATGACTGTATGTTGTGTGTGTTTGTGTGTCCGTTACAACAACTCACGTAAAAATGATAAGATTTTGAGGAAATTTGGTTTGTTCGATCGAGTTCGCGAACCAGCATGATTGGGGGTAGCGGATTTTTATCCCCCTGGAATTTTACCCCCTGGGCAAACGTGACGTCACAAACCAGGGGGTAAAATTCCGGCCGCGAACTTTTGAGTTTCGCGTCATCAGCTCGATGGATTAAACGCGGAATTAAACTTATATTTTCACGGTTGTGAGTTTAATCAGAACACATCAAATTATAAAAACCTAGAATGTACGGCCCGGATTTTTACCCCCCGGAATTTTACCCCCGGAATTTTACCCCCCGGAATTTTACCCCCCGGAATTTTACCCCCCGGAATTTTACCCCCTGACCAGATATTTATATGTAACATTAACTAATCGAACAGGGTTTTAATATTAATTTTGAGATTCGAGTGTCAGGATTCGATCTTTGAAGCCAACTGTTGGTTAATATGATCAAAATAAAACAGCGAATTCTGTTTACTTAGTTGAGATTACAAAATAAATAAATAAAGATAGGCTACTAAATAATGAAATGTTTACAATTAATTAAAAAAAGAAATAAGAAAATCAATCATTCAATTTCTAAAATCAGCCAGGGGGTAAAATTCCGGGGGGTAAAATTCCGGGGGTAAAATTCTGGGGGGTAAAATTCCGGGGGTAAAAATCCGGCCCGTACATCTTCAGTTGCCTAAACGCTAGTAGACAGGGGGTAAAATTCCGGTTTTTATCGCTAATCTAATTAATCACGCTCTGACTATTTTCATTAGACTTCCAAATCCGCGGGGGTAAAATTCCGGCCGCGAACAAACTTTTGGCCACTCAGGTTACTACGTCATAGTGACGTCAGCTTTGCCCAGGGGGTAAAATTCCAGGGGGATAAAATTCCGGCGACCCCATGATTGAACTATGGGAACGGTGTTTTATGGGGTAAAACAGTTATTAACTGTGGCTGATGTAGAACTTCGAGAGTTAGGTTTACAGAGCTATTCAACGTTTTCCCTTTTTTAAATTCCTTTGTATGTGATGTTATTGAAAAGTCCAACAAATTAAATGAGTACCTAAAGCTCAACACAGATTTCACTGAAACTTAAAGCTTACAGCTTATCTAGTGTTTTTTTTATGATGCTACTTGATAAAATGAGTGAATGTGTCTAAAAACCAGCTGTTATTCTATGGTAAGGGAACCATAACTGCATCTGCACCTATATGTAACCGAATATTAATTGTTGAGTAAAGCTATAGGTATAATTAGGTGTTGATTTATTTACTAAGCGTATGTTAATGGTTACCAACTAAATTTATTTTGCATCATGATAAAATAGGAGATAACAGACTGAATGTTCGCTTTAAATATCTAACTAACCTATTGGCGTGGAATAATATGCCATGCCAAATTGTATGTTCTTAAGCTGAATAAAATTGGCAAAATATTCCTTTCGATTACGAATACATTTTTGAGAAAATAAAAATTTATTGAGTTAAATTTCTTTATTTTTGAATCTGGCCAGTTCGCAAACTCTTTCAAATAGATATTTTCACGTTTGGTCCAAATTGCACAAAGATAAGATATTTTTACTTTAGTTATGTGGAACTTAAAATGAATTGTGTTTTTATTTATTATGTGTTTTAAGTATAAAATATTAATAGATTAGTATCAAATAAACATGTTTGCCAATTTTGATCAAAATGTATGCATAAACAAGCAAACGACAACATTTTTACAATATTCTCCATAAGAATAAAACGGGAATTCTAAATTTACCTACAACTTTTTTCCGTTACCAATAACCGTACAAAAACACTTTGATATACAAAATTATTCGTTTTCTTAAGCTCTTTAAAACGGTCTTGAGAGAATTCAGAAATTATTATGTTTTGAAGGTCAAAAATTAGAAAAAAACTATTTTTACCCCATAAAACCCCGTTTCCATGGTCCGATCATTCTGGTTCGCGAACTCATTCAAGGTCATCCCGCCTTACACCCTTTAAACCAAATTTCATCAAAATCGGACAAAAATTACTCCAGTTATCTCGTTCACGGACACATATTCATATATATACAAATATATAAAAATGAATATATATATATATTTGAACGAATGGTGATTTGGCTTCTCTGGGGACATCAAAATGAAAAAGTAAATAGGTCCAGGCCTAGGTCTTACCTTGCCACCTACGGTAATTGCGACTTCCCTAAAGGTAAATTCGCTAAAAATATATAATAGTCCCAGTTGTTAACATAAAGAGTACTACAGTTGTAGATACTTCTCTTTACGACGTTAAAACTACTTGTATTCTGGTTTTTTAGCTATCTTTGAGCGCCCGCAGTTCTCCGCTAGCTTTGTGCCGAGTATTAAAGTGTGATAGCTGCTATTCGATAACTGAAGGCGCTTAGCTGTCTAGATTCTCTGTATTTTGAACATTAATTCATCCCTAGCCAAAAACGCCATACTATACATGAGGTAAGTTATGTATACAAAGAGGTACTGTTCAGGATTTTTTCTTCATTCGGTTTCGGAGTATTTTGGTTATTTTTAGATATGTACTTTGTAATTAATTAATCAACATTTCTTATT